GGGGAGGGGGGGGGGGGGGGGGGGGGGGGGGGGGGGGGGGGGGGCAGTCACCTTTCGAGAGCCTCTAAAGGATCAGGATGCAAATCCGCCGTTGATTTCTAAGCGAGAAGTGGCTCGCTGCACGTGCACCTTGAAAAAATAAAAAAGAATCACGCTTTATTGCCGTCGATGAGCTTTTTTTTGTCGTTACTGCGAGCAGCACATAAAAAATAGGGAAAGCAGAGCCTCAAACAGCTGTGATATTGTCTGCAGAGATGTAGAATACATCCCGAGCATCGGGGGGAACAAAAGCAGCGACTCGAATACAAAAGGTGATGCCGTGGCTGAAGGGGGGGGGGGGGGGGCTGCAGCTCGGTGTCCCCTCACCTGCTCCAGATTCGGGAGGAAACAAATACCACTCACGCTTCTTTTTTTTTTTACGGCGACGCAATTAATTGCCGACTCCCAAAAACACACCGACGACGAGGAGGCGGATTTGGAGTGGAATCGACGGAGCGCAGGACGCAAACTGATACAAATCAGACATCAAATAAACAGCTAATTAGCTCGCTGATGCCGGTTTGCACTCGTGACGCTGGGATGGAATTGATTTCGGCGTTTTGCTAAACTGAGTGACTAATCTCCCATTTTTTCGAGCCATTCCTGCTAATTGCGAAGCGAGGCGAGCGCTGACAGGGGAGCTGTGTAATTGGACCTGAAAAAACGATTAGTGTAAAAGCTTATGAAATTATATCGCTTTCACACGCCGCTTGCCTTGATTTCCGGGGCAACCGAGGCGAGCGTCGGTTTTTAAGGAACTGCCTCTAATGGCACAGACTGAATTAGCCGAAAAAAACATAAACAGGCATAAATGAGCCTCTAATTGCGCCTCTCGCTCTGCCTCCGGGTCGCATGAGGCGGCGGGGAGGCAAGAGGCGCCGTCAGCTGGCATTAATAAATTAGATCCACAGCAGAGCGCGAAGGTAATCCATTACCTTTCCCACAGGAGAGCTTCCAGGGAATATCAATCGAGGCAATTAGGGGTGGAACAATAAACACCGAAAAACTAACATGCAAGTCTAGCAGTTTTAATCTATGGAGCCCTATGAGAGGAAAATAACTCAAAAAGCAAAAGTCTGCCAGACTCATTAAAAGTCCATTTGCAGTCAACACCTGCAGAACAAACAGGGGAGCAAGAGAGAGAGAGAGAGAGAGCGAGCGAGGGGGGGGGGGGGGGGAGAGACGAGCTTGGCTGGAGAACAATGCGGAAGCGAAGCCTCTTATTGGCTGATCTCGGTTAATTATCCTCCTCTAATGAAAAGCAGAGGCAGCGTTGGCAAGCCGGGGCGAGGGGATTTGGGGAGCTCTGGCTCGGCGAAGCCGACGCACGGCCCCCGACAGCGCGCTGGATCTCACGGCCGAACACTCGCTGCCATGCGATGGTACATAAGGAGCAGAAAAGGATTTTCTAATGGATTAACAAGAATATAACAAGCGCTCACCTCAGGCAGAAAAATCAATACGACAAAGACAATGTTGAAAAAGCAGAACTAAACAATAAATATGAAGATGAAATCAGAACAAACAAATAAAAAGCACATGAGGTTGGAAGCTGCAGGACCTACCTGCCCCGGCAGCTCTGCCCTCCATCCCTTCTGCTACTCAATCGTTTAGTTTCCATTGTACAGGAGGCACTATTTGCTGGAGAGGAGGCTGGAGTCGCCTCCCAGCTCGCTCCTCGGCAGCTGCCTGCTGCCTCCTGTTTGCCCGCTCGACTGAGTGAGAGCGGAACACGGGGAGAGGGGAGTGTAAAAAGGGAGAGGGCGAGTGGGTGTCAGAGAGAGAGAGAGAGAGAGAGAGAGAGAGAGAGAGAGAGAGAGAGAACAAGTCTACCTGCCACAACCCATCAAGCCAGCCAGCCTTGGAGACAGCGCCAAATCAACAGCTGGCCCCCGTGTGATGTCAGAGCCTCAACAGCCAGTCACGGCGGCCCGAGGCCGGCCGGCGCTACGCAGCGCCGACTGAACCAAAGTCACCGGCTAAATGGGGCTCTTCATTAGCCACTCTGCTTTAGGATGGAGGCGGGGGCGGGAGGAGGAAAGGGCAGACAGGGACATGGGACGGATGGAAGGAGAACGAGAGGAAGATGAGCAAAAACGGGGAGGGTGGGAGGTAGAGCGGTAAGAGGGAGGAAAAAAAGACAAACGGGGGAGGAGGATGGGGTCCGCGGCCAGCTAGGTGCTCAAAGACCAGGTGGAGAGTCGATGGGGAGGCGCTGGGCACTGAGAGGCCGAGCTGTTTACTGGGCCACCTTCCCATTAAAGCTGGCACCCTGCTCCTCACACACACACACAAGGCTACAGCTAATCCCAGAGACTCAGAGAGAGAGAGAGAGAGACACCACCTGAAACACCCACTCATTACCCAAACAAGACGAGTAAAACACTGCAATAAAGACACTCGGCTTTCGGCAAATCTCACACAAGCTTTTTCCGTGGAGCAGCTCGAGAACAATGCGCTGACTGCAGTGAGGGAGGAGAGCAGCTGCTTGCGCACGATCAAAACTGCTCCACCTCCATTTCACCTAAATCTGCCTTTAGACGATTTAACGGTGGGGTGGGGGGGTGAATCGGATCAAGCCCCCACCAGAAGTCACTTGGCTTGTTTATGTCACTAAAGACCAAGAATTCGGTCTGTACACGCAACAAAGACACACTCTGGAGATAATCGACGCTCTTCCATCGCTAAGTGACTGACAGGCTGTCAAAGACGCAGGGCTTCGCAAGCAGGTCCTGTGTCCCCAAGTCTAGATCGCCATATCGTGATTGTTTTTTCTGTCCTTTCAGTCACTCAAGACGTTAACAGCGAACACGGTGGGCGTAAAAAAAAAAAAAAAAGCTCCCGCTGTCACTTAGCAACCAGCACCGTTTCGCGACTCCCGATTCTCTGTCTCGTAATTGTCCCGTTCGTTACGCCGGGGCCTCTGATGAATTTATTTATTGTGCTTCCCCCTTGATCTTGTGAAAAAGGTCACCGATTGGACAAACAATTTACGGATAGGCGGATGAATTATTTAATGGCCCGGACCAAATATTATGGGAGCGGGAGAGATCCCCCCCCACTCCTCCCTGGGAGGCGATGAATTATTTAGCCGTTGGGGCCCACATCTTCGGCGAAAGCTATTACACAGCATCCTCAACCCCCCCTTCAATATCTGATAATGTCATCAGCTCCAAATGCGCCCTAACCTGCATAATGAACGGTCAACAGAGTAGCGGCGAGGTGAAAACTGTTATGGCAAACAATTATTAGCGTTTATTTTGAGCCTCGGGAGGGGTGCGACACCGAGGGCAGACAATCACATGAGAATTAGAGCGAAGATTTAGTGCACTTTTTCTGTGACAAAAAAAAAAAAAAACACATTTATCTGCATCACCACATCCCTCAAACACGGAGGAACTTCCACATTAGCAGACACAAAATGATGGTCACAACACACAACTGCGGCATGTGCAGCGGCGGAGTCCGCCAGCCCCGGCAAAGATTAACATATCATCTCCACTCTGCAGAACAGCAGCCGGAGGGACTGAGCCAGCATCCACTCTCCACCCACCAGGCTCCGCTGGTACCTTCATGAAAACGATACCATCAGTGGTGGCAACCTGTAAGCTCTCGGTGCTGTCTCTTATCAAGCCTACAGATGATAGACGGGGTCTGTGCATCGGAATCACAGCCGGTGTGGGTCACTTAGTATACACGTGTATCAAAAATGAGTTATTAGATGTATGATTTATGGTGCCTTCACGTACATAAATCTACTTCAAATCAGCTTTCAATGTCCACCTTTATAATCTCTAATGGAGAAGTGCTAAACTACTGTATATGTCAATGTTAAGATGCTACTATATAAAAAGGCATTATTTTTATTTTATTCATATTAAAACCAGCAAATCTGTTTGTGGTTGATTATGTGCAAAGCTGCACTACATCATTCATTTTTTAAAACTCATATTTACAATTAAGTTTCATGCGACAAGCCTATTTTAGTGATAGATACATTTTATGTCACTGCAGAAATACAACATTAACCCCCTTTTGTCCTTATTTGGTAAACTACTTAGCACTTAACGTCATATGCCATTTATTAATACGTGGGCTTGATTAATTAGCGTGCGACTTGTTTCTCTATGTAGTCTTCCATCGACCATTAAAATGTATCATTGACAAGCACGTATCTGCCATAAAGACCCCATTATGTTTGGCTTTATATCAGAAATAAGGTGTGGAGAATCAATGGAAAGGAAATGCATTTGATTAATCGTTTATAGCGATTTTGTCCGCTCGCTATTACACTGCGAGCTCGTGGCACCAGACTCAATTACAAATTTGGCCATTTTTATTGTTTCCTCGGTATCGTCGAAACCACAAACCCCGGACAACATTTGACGTTTCAATCCAATAATTGATACATGTAACTAAAATTCGGCCGATAAGACATTTGCACAAGCAGCGTAACAGCTTCAATACATTGAAAGCTCAATGTATTGAAATGGCTAACCGTGAGTGCACACTGCTCGTTGCCGCATATTAGCAGCAGAGAAACACTCGTACCAGGCCTGAAAGTTATTGAATTAATTACGCTTTATCATTCAACTGCTGCCATTTGCTTTTTTTTCGGACGAACGCCGAATTTAAGGACGGTCGCTTACAATTTGGAGACGGCGTTTCATTGCGAGGTGTGTGCGTTTAGCCGAAGAGCAAAAGGCAACATTGTGAGCCACATTTGGCGTTGTGTCGTGTCTTGTGCTAAGCTAACGACCATTACGCTTAAAAACGGCCAAACACCGGGGCGACCTGCGCTGTCCCGCAGTAGCACGAGAGATGTTTACTGCTAACGAGCTCGTGTTACATGATTACAACAACCCGGTTAGACAAGACAAGATACTGCAGATATCTAATGTTGCCTTACCGCTTTGCTTTACAATCGGTGCACAGCCGTCAACCAAGGGTGAAGTAGCTAGTGTTTGTGGCGGAGTGAAGGAGACACGGAGGAGTCGAGCAGGCTGGCAGAGTGCGTCAGATCCTCACGTCCGATACGTAGGGTGTTGGAAATATGTCACGTCTCGTCGTTGCTGGTGTTGTGGCAGCACGCATGCTCGCGGTTTGTTTGACAATGTCGTCATTTTTTGCATATATCATTTAACATTGACGCCTTTTATTGTTTTATGTGATTTGTGATAACATTAGTTCGTAAAGTGCAAGGAAGTTGCATTGACTACTCAGCGTTGACTGACTGCGTGCTGCCCCGGTGATTTAAACCGAGTGAACCTTACATTTCCCGTGAAACTTTTTTTCGTGATTCAGTTCAGTCCGCTGTTTCATTAACTATATTGCTGAGCATCTCTGCACCGTCTCACCGGGTAGGCAAATCACGCATACACCAACAAAAGATATATAGCTTTACTAGCACAATACTTTTACGTGTACGTTAAGTGACCGAGTACTGCTCCTGAGTCACGATGCATGCTGCATGTGGCTGTCCGGCTCTGCTTAGAGCAGCACGTGACATGTAGCTATAGCACACATTACGTAAAATCAGAGCATTTATGTTAGCTTGCTAGTTTCCTCCTCTTTAAACATCTACGTATTTTCATCTCACATGGTAGCTAGCTACGAGAGTCAAATACAACATGAATGCGTATCCGGTATATAAAATAATAAATCTGTGGGTTTAAGTACAAGTAGTGCTTTTATTTCTATAGGCACGTTTGTTTACTTCCGGTTTGAGTTGATAGCTCCAGTGCCATGCCCTACAACCTGACGTCTTTAGGTGGTTATAACTCCGAATTTGTTCTTTTGCATACTTAATTGAGTATTAAGTAGTTGTTTTCCCCTAAACTGGCAACTTGTTCTTCAGGTCTTCTAATACATCGCTGATTTATTTAAGTTTAAATATAAAGGTATAAGGTGGTTTTGGTTGAAAATTAAGTATTAAATATAATTTGTGGTTTTTGCAATTACATGGAATTATAAATGTATTCTTATTATTTTGAGGTATATTAAGTGTGTAATACACTAAACATAGAACTTTTTTCATTTACTGTAGCCACAGCTTGTTTCTCTGACTTCTATCCGAATGCTGTTGTTGCTGGGGAGTTGTTACTATTTCAGACACAAGATTCGTGTGGTTGTCGGTGTACGCTCACCAATATCTGTAACTAAATAACAAAAGCAGAAACGTCAGCCTGGACAGACCAGGACAGCCAGCGCCAGCTAAAGTGAGGAAACACTAAAAAGATGCTGTTGTAACCGGGGGCTGCTGAGACGGGGGACTTTTACCATCTGGGACCGTCTTTGTCCACCGCACTGCGTCACCCAGCTTCTAAAAATGGCATTCCTGTCAGTGCTGGTTGGCAGCAGAGGAATGCTTATTACCATTTTTATAAAACATGTTTAAATCAACCACAAATACGGCAAACAAAAGGGTTCTTTAATGTCTAATAGATGCTCTACATTCATTTGTACAACTTAGTTTACCAATGTTTTTTCCCCTCCTGCTTCAAACCAGGGTCCAGGAAACGGATGAGACCGTGCGAATGGAGATGGACGATAATGACCTACAGAGCTCTTGCTGTGACACAAGATGGTCACAGCAACTGTCGGGCCTTCCTCGCAAGCTCCTGCGGCGCCTGATGCCTTTCCAAAGGGAGGGAGTGGAGTTTGCTCTATCCAGGAACGGACGGTGAGCACTCGGTCACGTCAAGGCCTCATTGTTCGGAAGCCAAGTAGCGTAGGTTCTCATTTTTTAAAGGTAGTTTTAAAATGAAAGGTCAGCTTGTCAAATCAGTAATAACATGACAAGGAAGAGGCATGGTGTTGAGAAAATGTCGGGTGCTGATATGTTTTGATGTTTCACTTCCTGAGGAGGAAAATACAGCAAAACTTCAACATAATCTGTCACACATTTTCCTCTCTTGTGCTGCACCAGTGTGTGATTTAGTCTAATAGGGTGGTATGTTTAGATGGAGCATTTGCCTAATGGAGCTTCCAAACAGGCAGTCCAGCCCCAACCTCTAGTGCAATCAGGAAACTGTCATTTCCAGCGCAGCTCCAAAAACAGTATGATGGCCCACAATGCAAGTAAATAGTCAAGAATGTAGGAGTCTTAAGTTTCCTTTAAGTCCGTAATTGTTGAGCATTAGCTGCAGGAACTGAAGAGGTCTTGCCCATCCCCCCCCCCCCCCTGCCTACGACCAGTCGATGTGCTCTCGGTGAAGGTCAGCACAGGGGGAGCCAATCTGAGCGCCGCGATGCGGAGCGCCCGTTATTGATCCGGAGAACACTGGGAGGCGCTGCTTTGTTACACGGGTGGGTCAGAAGTCAATTGGCTCTTGGCGCACCGTGTGGACAGCCACCTCGGTCAATTGGCACCAGTATGTGACAGGGAGCAGCAATGCTTCTCCCTGGAGAGGAGCAGAAGTGGCATTAGCACCAGACGTTCTCGGTAGAGAGGGAGCCTGGAGGCAGAATGAGCACACGATGCAAGTTAGTTTGTTTACATTCTACCCGTAGCTACTGTTACTAAGCTCTGATTGGGCAATCGCTGTTTAGGGGAGGGGTTTAGCCAACAGTCGATTTGTTGCCCGAGCCAGTATTTACCATGAACTTTGTTTTGCTCTCACTGACCATGTCACATTTTCTACAATAAGGGCAAAGTGAGCTGTACCCAGCATGCCGTTCAGCGGTGTAACCGTTAATATGGTAGTGCGCGATGGAGAGCGAACTGTACCCAGCATGCTTTTCAACGTTGTAACAGTTAATATTGTTGCGTACCGCGCAAAGCGAGCTGAACCCAACAAGCCATTTGGTTGTTTAACAGTTAATATTGTAGGGAGCGACGCCAAGCGAGCGGTACCCAGCATGCCTTTCGACGGTGTAACAGTTAATAGGGGTTCCCCCTCAATACACTACACAGTGTATACATAACACACAACTAATAGTTAATTGGATGAACAGTTGTCGAGAAGATCGAAGGGCATATATACATACATATATAAGATGTATATAAATATACATACTGCCAGATACTTCTTCCATTTTAAGTTTAGTGTGAGAAGATACAGTGACTAGGAAGTTGGAGTGCAGCGTTTTAAGCCTGCAGTACGACACTAACAAACACACAGACGGTAAAGAAGATTACAAGCTAAAAATTTTCATTTTATTGACAGTAATCTTGATCTTTCTATGTATTTGTGGCACCCTGCTGTTCTTTATTTGATCACTCAATATCCTTGAAAAGAGCCTCAAATTAAAGCGGCAGTGCCTTTTTTTACTTTCACCGATACTAAACAGAGACTCATTGCAGAAGAGGCAGAAACTCTACCTGCATTAGCCTGAATGGACCAGAGTGCAATGCGGCTGCAGAGATGTAGGATACCACTACCTGAGGAGGAACTAGTCGAAGGCAGGCTGACAGACAAAAAAATGACATAAACGGCTTCATTATAATGAATAACTCCTGAAATGCAACGAACATCATAGATTGATGTCGGATATCTAACAGCGTGGGAGGATCCGTGGGAGGATTTTTTTTCCCTTATCAAAAAAAAAATCTCATAGTCGTTGTGTCTTTTCATACCAAGAGCGCCGAACCCCAAAAAAATCACATCAGACGCCGTCGCAATTCAAATACTTATGGAGCGCGCCGCGCCGGTCTGTGTAGGAGGACGAGTGAGCTTTATGGAGTTAGATGAGGGATAATGCGGGGAGAGTTGTGGCACAGAGTGGCAATAAAAACCCTTGAGATGTGGTTGATTGTATTGTTTGGAAAGTTGGGCAGAAGTGTGCCGTCAGACCGCTGACATCTGCATGTATTCAGCTATCCGAAAACATCCATTTACCCAGGGTGCATCTGTGGAATGCAGCACCGTACGGCAAAAAATCGAAGAAAACATCAATTTGGAGTAAAAGTACATCCATTTCAGGCCTTTTGGTCACTTCCATGAAGGTGTCGACTGCAGCTGGTGTCCGCCCTGCTCTGATTTGTCCGGAATGTTATTGCAAGCGACTGCCCGTGCTTTTATTGAATAAGGCCCGCTCTGCTGACGTGAGAGGAGATCGATATGAAGTCTGTGTCCTCTCTCCCTGCGATGGCCAAACACCTGAGAGAAGTCCTTTTCCAGAGATTTGTTCTCTGCGTGTTCTCACGCCCATGAGTATTTGTCATAATATAGAGTACTGTACACAGAGTTATACCAGAAAATGATTTGGGCGATTCAGCAGCGCAGTGCTATGCTGTTACAACACTGGGGAGTACAATTGGGCTTATTCACAGGGTCCAACGGTTCTACATTTGGTCGCTTTTTTAGGGCCTTTTAACAGTTTATTCCATGTCGTTGAATCAGTCAGTCTGCCTGAACAAATAAGTGGAAATAATTTCTTATTAAAGGGGTCATTTTTTTTAAGCACATCCATAAATATGTGAGAGACAAAAGGCTGCTTCGGTTTGAAGTTCATTTACAATATACCGCCACAGTGCACTTTGAACCGAGCGTGCCATGCTGTAAAAAAAAAACAACTTCCAGTCAGCCTTTTGTGCTGCGGTCCCACACTGACCGCTGCACGTACTGGGCCGGGAGATTGGGGTTAGACAGCCGGCAGGCCCAGCAAGTCATCGTAGCGTGGGGTGGGGGGGGGTACCGTTTCCTGACACTTTGGGGCTTGTGGGTTTCAGAGATAACATTAGAAAGACGGGGCCGTGCCGTCGTCAGGCAACGGCGCCGCAGCATCCTCGCGGTCTCAAACCGTCAAGACGACACTCAGGTTATTTAAAGGAGGATGATTAATGTGTTGGGAAATGGCAAGCACCTGCCCCAGCCGCACTGCCTCCAGTGTGTGTGTCTGTGTGTGTGTGAGTGTGTTTACGTGTGTGTGTGTGTGTGTGTGTGTGTGTGTGTGTGTGTGTATCTTGGCTTCTTTTCATTTTTCTTTTTTTTTTTTCAAAAGTCTTTTGTGTGCATTTTTCACACACATACTGTTTTCTGTGTGTGTGTGTGTGTGTGTGTGTGTGTGCGCGCATTGCGCTGACTGGGCCAGTGTGCTGGCAATTAGAAAAACCACCAGTGGCAAGGTGCACATTAATCATGTTCCTCAGCTGAAAGAGAGAAATGGGGCGGAGATGGGGGGGGGGGGAGAATAATGAGAGAGCGTGTCTGAGGTATTCAGAGCCATCGTGGCGTTTGCTCCCGACATGGTGTTGGAAGCGTTTATGAATACTCAAGGTTGTGACAAAAGGCCCCCACGAATCCACCGGGCAGAGAGAACCAGAGGTTGATCTATCTGTACTTCCTGCACAGCAGGGGGACAACTTCAGCCAAGGAATGTGTCGCGCTTTCATTGTTCCCTTTATCATAAATGTGAAGGGGGAGGTGTGTGTGTGTGTGTGTGTGTGGGGGGGGGGACTAGCTTGTGTGGTTGGCCAAGAAAGAGACATATCAGACACAGGTGAGCTGTCGCTTTTATCCAAGTTTAAGGTTCTGTTAGTCTTAACCATGTGAAATAGAAGATGGATTTAGGCCAAATAGTCCTCAAACACGTCGTCATTGTTCATTCACTGATGTAAGATGCTGTCAAGGCTACAGCAGCCACACCATGTGCTGAAATGCTTCTCCTATGATATTAACACTCACTCCCTCACTGCATTTTTATAACGGGTATTTTGACATTAGCCGTTTGGGATGTTGGACCGTGAAACTGCTCACACAGCAAGACCGGATTTACAAAAAAAAGAACAGGATGTCGGACGTCGATCAATTCTAAAATAGTCGTGTTGTAGGCTGAATTTTTGCTGAAGTGTTGAATTGCTGAAGTAAACTTTCATTCAAATCTACATAAATAGGTCCTTGATTTTTTTTTTTTTACTCATTAATGGAAGACTTTAAGTCAGGTAATGTCTGGACGAGGTCACCGACAAATACCCTCTCCAAACGAATGATGCTGTAGTGCCTTTGAGCAAAGCCCTCATGCTGTTGTTTTTTTACATGTAAGCAATAGATGTCTCTTTATAGCAACCTGATGACCGATTTTCTCTCTTTGCTTCTGTCTTGCAGATGTATGATTGCTGATGAGGTAAGCACACCACAATGCTTTTCCCAGGAACAACAACTACAAAAAAAAAATGAGGCTGGGACTTCACTGCACGCTTTCCAAATTAATTTGTCATCCCCGTGCAGTGCTCCCACGTGCCTAATCGCTTTTGACACCAGAATCATTCTGAGACCTTATTACTCTCGGGCCTCGCATCAGCTCGGCCGTCGTATGCAATTTGCCGCAGAGTTGGCGTCGTGCAATTAACTTGTTTTTCTCTCCCCGGTTTTGGTCGGCCCAGATGGGTCTTGGGAAGACGGTGCAGGCCATCGCCGTGGCGTACGCCTTCCGCCAGGAGTGGCCCCTCCTGGTGGTGGTGCCCTCATCCCTGAAGTATCCCTGGATAGAGGAGCTGGAGCGGTGGATCCCCGAGCTGCAGCCTGGAGACATCAACCTGGTGGAGAACAAGAGCGACACAATGTAGGTCGTCAACCCCCCCCCCCCCCCACACACACACACACACACACACACACACACACTCACACTCCACCTTCATACCTTCAACCAACAACATGCCACTACATGCATGTAGTAACGTGTACTTACAGCTGCGTTAACGCATTTTTTTTGGCCCCTTGTGGGCAGCGGAAACAAGCTGTAAACACAATACTGACATATTATTGCCAAGGCACATGTGTCACACGTCTGACAAACTCGTTAGCAAACATTTGTTTGGTTACACATTTGGCGGATATGAGGCGACGTATGCATTCATTTGGACCCGTGCTTCTGGCCACCTGATGAGTGCAAGTCCAACATTCTCTTGTGTTAGCGCTCTTTTTGGTCTCCACCATCTCCTGAGAGAAATATCCGGCTCTTCAATATTCGAGAATATTCACATTTGAGAAGCTGAAACTAGTAAATATTTAGCATTTTATTTACTTACAAAAGTACCAATGTATCAACTATACATTTGAAGTAATTCTGGTCAAAACCCTTCATGATATCGAGCAGATAGGGACCCACTTTGCACGTTTATGCCCCACAGTCTTGTGCCCAGAATATCTCTAAGCAGAGCACATAATCCCGTGGATTATGTTCATCATACGCAGGATTATGTAAGTGAGAGGTCACAGCCCCTATTTGAACTTAAGTGGAAGATGCAGCGGTGTCCCTTCGGTTCCGACACATACGCCAAGCGATGGTAATACTCTCAAAGCAGTGGGACGAATATATAGAATACAGGTGCTGGTCATATAATTAGAATATCATCAAAAAGTTGATTTATTTCACTAATTCCGTTCAAAAAGTGAAACTTGTCTATTATATTCATTCATTACACACAGACTGATATATTTCAAATGTTTATTTCTTTTAATTTTGATGATTATAACTGACAACTAAGGAAAATCCCAAATTCAGTATCTCAGAAAATTAGAATATTACTTAAGACCAATACAAAGAAAGGATTTTTAGAAATCTTGGCCAACTGAAAAGTATGAACATGAAAAGTATGAGCATGTACAGCACTCAATACTTAGTTGGGGCTCCTTTTGCCTGAATTACTGCAGCAATGCGGCGTGGCATGGAGTCGATCAGTCTGTGGCACTGCTCAGGTGTTATGAGAGCCCAGGTTGCTCTGATAGTGGCCTTCAGCTCTTCTGCATTGTTGGGTCTGGCATTTCACATCATCCTCTTCACAATACCCCATAGATTTTCTATGGGGTTAAGGTCAGGCGAGTTTGCTGGCCAATTAAGAACAGAGATACCATGGTCCTTAAACCAGGTACTGGTTGCTTTGGCACTGTGTGCAGGTGCCAAGTCCTGTTGGAAAATGAAATCTGCATCTCCATAAAGTTGGTCAGCAGCAGGAAGCATGAAGTGCTCTAAAACTTCCTGGTATACGGCTGCGTTGACCTTGGACCTCAGAAAACACAGTGGACCAACACCAGCAGATGACATGGCACCCCAAACCATAACTGACTGTGGAAACTTTACACTGGACCTCAAGCAACGTGGATTGTGTGTCTCTCCTCTCTTCCTCCAGACTCTGGGACCCTGATTTCCAAAGGAAATGCAAAATTTACTTTCATCAGAGAACATAACTTTGGACCACTCAGCAGCAGTCCAGTCCTTTTTGTCTTTAGCCCAGGCGAGACGCTTCTGACGCTGTCTGTTGTTCAAGAGTGGCTTGACACAAGGAATGCGACAGCTGAAACCCATGTCTTGCATACGTCTGTGCGTAGTGGTTCTTGAAGCACTGACTC